CAATGCCTATCGATCCTGCACTTCACGTTCAGCTTTACAAGCAAGATGGAATAAACGAGTGATATTATTATAATCCTTATACTCTAGAATGGTCTGAATCTCTCTATTTAATCCACCCATAAAACGTGCAAGCATAGCTTCATTCTCCTCAACAATACCACATCTAATCAAGCCAGTTTGTAATTCCTGATAATATTCTTCTACATAATTTTTTCCTTGTCTTAAGCGCTGCAATTTTTGAAGTAATTCACGTTGATAATATGGTGGAACCCAACGAGTATGCATAGCAGTTTTCAAAGCAGCCCAAGTAGATGGAACAGGATATAATCTACAATGTTCAGACCACCAAACACATGCAAAGCTAGTGAAAGCACAAACAGCAGCAGGAACACGTCTCTCCTCAGGATATTGTAAACATGTAAATCGTTGTTCAGTTTCTAACTCCCAAGTAGATATATATCAGGAACATATCTACCCTCAAATGGTGGAATACTCAATTTTAGTTTAGGGAGATGGTCATGATCTCGTACCTGAGGAGGAGCCCTAACATTTCCATTATTTGCATGTGGACGACCTGGTGGTTGTGGTGCTGGTAGTTGCACGTAGTTCTGATTTTGATCAACCTCATCCTCGTAATCTCCTGCATAATCATCCTCCTCCACATCAGCAGCAGGAGCCACAGAAGTATCAACAGCAGCACCAGCAGTTTGGCCAGGATGAAGAGGGACATGGCTCGCTCGGCGGAGGGATGTTTCTCGATGTGGAGGTAGTCGTTGTTGTTGTTGTTGCAGAGGGGCGGCAGGTGCAACCGGTGGTGGAAGACGCGCAAGCAGTTCATTAAATCTATCATCGAGCTTTGTTTCGAACGTCTTCTCAAGACCAGTGATCTTCTCCATGGCCTCTTCAAAATTGTTCAGCACATCTTGCACCTGTTCAGTCATCATTTGCTGAAACTTATCATGAAGCTCCTTGTTCGTTAAGTTCTCCCAGTCAATCTCGTCGGCTTGTGATCCTGGCATGGTTAGCAGCAATAGAAACACACAAGAATATGATCCTATAGACGACTAACAAGTGGTGGTGGTGGTGGGTGTCACAAATCTGTCAAGCAAATCTCAAATACTTACCAGTTCTTACCCAGCAGCAGGCGGTGATCGGCAACCGTTGTAGTCAAAACTCTCAAAGCTTGGATAGAGCGATTGCCAGGGAAAGTCAAACGCACGACGTAGATGTATGTGGAGCTGGGAAGGCTTATAGTATGGTAGCAAAAAGGTTCAGCAATAATCAATTAAGAGATGCAAAGTTGAATAAACACTCAACGATGGTACTATGATGGTCCTAGGCTAGACCGTACTAGAGACACGAGCCTAGAACACTAACAAAATCACAGCGCTGCACGTAAACAAGGGAGGAGCACACTCCGATATTTTTTTTTCTTTTTTTTTGCACTTTTTTTTCTCTTTTTTTTTTGCTCCGCAACAAAAAAAATTCAAAGAAGTCTACAAATGTCCTAAAAACTACCTAGCCAGAATTTTCCAGACTTAGTTTTTTTTTGAAACTGGAACTAATTTTATTCTGCGGATGGTTCGGAAGTTGGGGAGTCCTACTCTGTCACGACTCGGAGTATCGCGTGATCTGGAAATCGAGAACAAAGCAACAATTACTGGACTCGGACTAGGACTGGTGGCGGAGATGAATCTGGTGGAAACTCGGACTGGTGGCGGATATTTGCAGGGCGATGGAACACGGGCTAGTGGCGAATCTTTGATGGAGGTGGACTCGGATTAGCGTGATGGCGGGGATATGTTGTATATGGTAACGGCAATGAGGATGGTGGTATATGGCAGCGGTGATGACGATGGCGGTATATGGCAGCGGTGATGACGATGGTGCGGCGGCGGCGTGACAACTTGTGAACAGAACTCGAAACTCTAAAGTACTAGACGCTAGGACCAACAACTTGACACGAGGATGCAACCGCAAATTCAACGAAGCAAATACAAAAAATATTATGCAAAGGCTCAGATTGGTTCGCATAAGATGAACTAACCCTAAATTTTTTGTGTGGCTTTTTCGTGGACTATAGGTATGAAGAACAGACTCGATCTAAACTATGAAAACTGTAAAACTCACCGAGCAACCTGGAAATCTGATACCACTTGATAGAGGCAAAGGTGTCCCGTCTTTCGATGAGATGATGGATTTCGCTTTGGTGGAAGTCGACTTTGACGATCCGACTACGAATGTGCGAGGCGTCGCGCCTTAGCAAACGCTAAACCAACTCCGAGAGGTTATTGACCACGCCGAAGCACGATCAACCTGACCACGAGGTTCTGTTTCCTGTGAGCAAATGAAGAACAAGTAAGAAACTAAGATTGCAATATGGATATTGCGAATATAAGATGAAAGCTTTATTGATCAAGGTGGGGTTCTGTGACGCTTTGTCTGGTCGTTGAACACAAACGAAGTACGCGAAGTTGCAGCTATGGCGAACTTTTAATCTAAACAAAACCCAAAGTCTAAACGGTGCCCTAAGGGCTGTATATATGGAGGAAGAGGGGGGAATTTCGTGGCCCTTGGTGGAGGGGTCCGAAATCAACCATATCTCTTGTTTCCCCACACATAGGGACTCTAAAAATAGCCTATATTTATGTATTTCTAAATTACATGGGTTTGGCCCAATAATAAGGTGACGCAGCATCTAGAATAGCCTCGGGACGAAATTTAAGAAGTGACATCTTGTATATTTTGTCCAAGGCTTCGTTCACCCATTATGGTGGCTTCAAAGTCCTGAAATCATCACTTGTAACTCCGTTATTGTTCCCCTTGCGCATGCCATCATCTCCATGCTTGTTCGTGCTCCAATGTTCATCCTTCTCCAAGCTAGGCCCTTCATTTGTAAGCAAAACAAATGTATCCAATTTAGGCAGCATCATATTCTCATGAACATTAGAATCATTACCAAGAAACGAAAATACTTGATAATTTAATTGGTGTGCGCGAGCTCTAGTAATTAGTCCAGTATATGTAGCAGTAGGGGTTGTGGGTGTAACAATGGTATTGATGTCCTCATCACCTCCTCTTGGGCGCGCCCCTTAGGGCCGACCGGCCTCCCCTCCCTCCTTTATATATGGGGCAGGGGGCATCCTAGAACACACAAGTTTCTCTTAACCGTGTGCGGTGCCCCCCTCCACAGTTACACACCTCGATCATATTGTCGTAGTGGTTAGGCGAAGCCGTGCATCGGTAACATCATCATCACCGTCGCCACTCCGTCATGCTGACGGAACTCACCCTCGTCCTCAACTGGATCAAGAGCATGAGGGACGTCATTGTGCTGAACGTGTGCTGAACACGGAGGTGCCGTACGTTTGGTACTTGGATCGGTTGGATCGCGAAGAAGTTCGACTACATCAACCGCGTTACTAAACGCTTCCGCTTTCAGTCCACGAGGGTACGTGGACACACTCTCCCCTCTCATTACTATGCATCTCCTAGATAGATCTTGCTGATCGTAGGAATTTTTTTGAAATTACCACGTTCCCAACAATTGAAAGTTGACGGTGCCCCAACATTGACAAATAGAGTCCCTTGATAATGTCCGCTAGTGTTGCGCTCATCAAAAAATTCCTTGATGTGGTCCCAATAGGTGTTCGCGGCCTGGTCACTCCCCACGGATACATCTTGATAGATTTGCTTCCATGCGATGCAAACCAACACATCTTCGGCGTTGCTATAATTTTTTGCTCTTCCCTTGGCAATGAAGCACTCGCCGTCCATGTCGAGATTATCATCATCAAATTGAGTATCATATTCTTGTGATGCATACTCTTGAAAGAAATAATTTTCATTTGCCACATTTATCGCACGCATGAATGCTTCATCCTCAAGACTATAAAATGGACATACACGCAACCTCACATTCTATTCGTATACAAAATGAAAAGAAAAAACACAAAACAAAAGATTTTTTTTACCTTTGCGACATTTCGCCGAGCACGTTGGGGGCGATGGTCGTGGGTGTTGCCACGTCTTCCTCCATGACAGGCGGCGGGGCTTGCGGTGGTGGAGGAGAAGGTCCATGACCAGCGGCAGTTGCCACGGCCAGCGGCGGCAGCGAACTGGCTGAAGCAGCCATGACCGCCTTCGTCTTCTTGGCCGCTCAAGATGGACTCACCGCAGGGTTTTGCCCTGTCGGGTGCTTCACACCTCCACCACAGGTTTTGGCCGCCGACAGCTTCTTCGCGGGTGGCGCACCTGTTCCCGTAGCGGCGGGGTGGGTGGCGGGATGGGGGTGGCGAGATGGGGGCGGCGGCATGGCGGTGGAGGCAGGGTCAGTGAAGGTGGTTGCGCCTGCGGCAGCCGCGCTGAGGTGGGTCAGACCAGCGGCGTAGGCGGTAGCGGGGTCATCGGAGTCGGCCATGGGGCCGGGCGACCGGCGGAACATGGTCCAGTGACGGGCATACGGGCGGGTGGAATTGAAATGAAGTGGCGGTTGGACATTCGTGCGCGGCTGACTGTTTTACATCACCAGGGAGGTGAAGATGCCAATTTGCATCTCCGGGTGTTGTATTTTACAGCACATCACTTGGAGGAGGTGATGTAATTTATTTGTTTTTGCATCTATATATCATCTATTGGAGCATTGTTTTTGGCCTCCAAGATGTAAAAAAACTATTATTTATATATCTACGTCATTATTTATTGGAGACGCTCTAAGCGCACACACATGTCCTACAAAACAAAATGTAACATCTGAGTGAGAACTTTAATGTCCATTCTGGCATTGCCATTCTAGTTTATTCTGATAATACACAATGCTACAGCAGTTATTTCGCAAAAAGAAAAAAGCTACTCCCAAGTACTACTCGCAATAACCACCCCCAAATACTACTCACGACCACAAATCCCTACCTATATGCTAGAGCTAGTGCTACGACGCGCGCATATAATAAGGAAATGAAAAACAACGATAATACTTCCTACTCAAGTAATACTATGTCCTACTGCGCCTCCAGGTCCCTCTCCCCGTCGTCCAGTACCTGCTCCCGCGGCGGCGGTGACGTGACAGCCCGTGACGTGCTGCCCACTTGTTCCTTCCCGGCGCACTCTCCTCCGGCCGGCCTGATGACCACCTCAGCTCGGCAGACCGGGCATGTCGAGTGCTCCCTCAACCAGACGTCAACGCAGCTCCGGTGGAACACGTGCATGCACCTGGGCAGCCGCCGCGCCGCCTGCCCGTCGACCATCACGGCCAAGCACACGGCGCATTCTGCGGCGTCCTCCTCGCCGACGCCGCCGTCCTTCCGGTACACAAACTCAGGCAGCGCTGCGATGGCGTCCGCGTCCAGCCCCGCCGACCGCTTCTTGGCCATTCCCGGGGCCGCATCGGTGGCCGCAGCCGTGGCCTCCTCCTCCTGCTGGCGCGCGGAGCGGTGCACGAGGTACCACCGGATCACACACAAGATGAGCAGTATGGCGAGGAGGGAGCCGAAGCTGATGCTCAGAACGACGATGTAGGAGGTGGTCGTGCAGCAGGCTCGCGCGGCGGCAGCGGCACGACGCGAGGGGTAGGGTGGGCCCGCTGAGAGCGCAAAGCAGGACTGGTCCGCGGGGAGGCAACCGCCGGCAGTGGCCTCCTCGCGTGCCTCGGTGGCCATGGCGCGGCCGGGTGGTGCGGCCCAAGACGACGACGACGGTGATCGCGACGACATGTCCGGTGCGTGAGGTAAATGGGCGGTGCGTGCACGCGTGGAGGACCGAGGACAGAGCTTTTGATGGGGCTGGTTGGTTGCATGGTGTCGAGAGTGTGGAGCGAGCGAAGCGCGGAGGGGACGGACGGGGTTCTTGAGATGCGGAGTTGACCGCCGGACCCAACGCATTTGACAAGAATAGGTTGGGAACGCGTTTGGTACTATGCGTTTACCTCGGCCAATCTTCGTGAATTTTTAGTGTACAGTAAATATGCCCGTGCGTTGCAACGGAAGAAAACAAACTCCACATGCCCTTACCTAATAAGTATGGCTAAAGACCTCACCCTTCACGGCCCACGTTGACTTACCCGACACACATAAATTTGTCCTTATTCGCTCCTCGGACCAAACCCTTGCCACTCCACTCCACTTCGTCACCCAAACTCCTGTCCGGCGATTTTTGGCCTTCTCCGGCATGGCGGGTAGAGGATCCGAGCCCTACACTTCCAGATCCATTGATTCGGTGCTCGTTGCATAGGGCCCCGAGGAGGAGATGACGTCGCCGCTCCCTGGAGGAGGCCGCTCGACGGTAGTGCTCAGACTTTTTCTGTCGAGATCCATTGCTTCCACCCAAATGGCGCATGGATCTGCCGCGAGGTGTGTCCCGGTGACGACGGAAGCCCTCGTGACAGTGGACGCTCGTGAGGCAGTGTTGCATTATCCGGTGCCCGGTATGGTGTACCAGTCCAGGCGCCGCTACCGCGTCATGGTGGACGTCGCTGGCTCCTTCCAAGACGGATCAATCATCGATCTCACGTCCACTGACATCGCGAAGGTTCTGGACTCTGACGAGGAAGAGTGGGACATGGGAGACGGCCGCACCTTGAGTCTTGCGAGCCGGTGCATGTCCCATGTCCTATTCTATCTCGCCGGTGACCGGAGCAACACTTTGAGGGGTGCAGTCGACCGTCGGATATGGACACGGCGGACGTACGGGCTCTGCTTAGATTAGGTTTTAGGTGTCGTAATAGTATGGATTTATTAATTTCTTAATTGAATTGAGGTATCCCGTTGTGGAAGAAATTATTTGAGGCATGACCGGTCAGTGTCCATGGACGCGTCCTCGTAGGCGTTTGAGGGGTCGGATTTGCTGTATCCGGCTGAAGATGCTCTTAGTATGGGCTCTACTTCGATTAGGTTTTACGTGTCATGTAATAGTATGGATTTATTAGATTTCTTAATTAAATTGAGGTATCCAGTCAGTGCTATGGACGTGCTTTCGTTGTTGTTTGAGGGGTCGAATTTGCTGTATTCGGCTCAAGATGCTCTTAGTACGTGTTCATCCTGTCCCCGGCGTACCGCATGTTTGCCTCGTGTCACAAGCTCCTTTTGGTAAGTGGGCGGCCACGGGCTCCACGCAGTAGCTCTTGGTCACGTGGTTGAGGCCACACATCCTTTCCCTAATGAGGAGAGAGGCCACACATCCTTTCCCTAATGAGGAGAGAGGCCACACATCCATGGTGGTTAGTGGCCCGGAGAGTGATTTTAAGTTGCCGCCTCTTTTTGTCCAGGGATTTGGTTGACGCGTTTGATTTTCGTCTATGGCTTCGGTCAGGAGACTTGGGTCAAAGGCAAGCCCACGGAAGTCAGCTCCAATCCAGTCTTCTAAGCAGGGGTGTGGGAACTGAGGCCTGCTCAAGGTGCTATCAGTTTTTTTTCTCTGACCATGGTGAGTTCGTGTCTTTGAACACTTTGGTTCAATGTGACAATGCATAAATTCAAAAGATTGCTTGATTTGTTTTCTTTCCTTTTTTTAGAGAAATTGATTGTATGAACCAGTCGCAGCGTCAAATTGTATTTGCATGAACTATGCATCAATGTATTTTTAGGATCACAGCCCAAGGCACAAAAACCAGTTGCTGTAAATGGTATAAATACAGAACCTGATAATAGTCTTTCATTTAGATGCTACAATTTCTGGTGGCGGCTCGCACAGCTTGCACCATGTTTTTCTTTAACTTCTTCCCTTCCTTTTTATTTCTCTGTCATGTATCATGTGTGTTCCAATTCGAGTCCCTATAAATAATCGAGGGTCTTTCTCCTAGTTCTTTCCTTCCCTTTTACTTCTTTGTCACGTCTCATGTCGTTTGAGATGCAGTTGTCCTCAAAGCAATTTTCTTCCTTTATTTCTCTGTCACGTCGGTCCTTAACCTGGGCTCATTGATTTTCAAGTTAGCTCCTTAATACCGAGAAAATCAAAGACATATATGAATTGGAGAAATTGTGTGTAAGAAATCGAGGCGGGACTATTGTAGAACAATCTTTGCTTGCAGCCGAGGTGGGCTAGCTCGATTGGTTTTAATAATTTTAGAAGGTGAAAGGATTAGAAATTTAGAGAAATGCATCTTGCTTTATTAGTAGGTAATAGATGTAGATGTGTCTGCTACTCCTAAGATAGTTGTTTAAATCTGATCTGTTGTTTCTAGAATATGTGGATGACTGAATCATGTCAAGATTTGGCCTCGTGTATGCTATCTTCTATTTCTAACCATAGAACACCGAGGTATCTTTGGAAAGGAAATAACATGATGAGCATTGAACCTGACTGTGAGTGAATAACCACCACCCCCTAACTAAAAAAAGTAATGATATTGGCATCTATATTACCGAAAGTACAGTACACATAAGCTATATATACTTTCAGTTTTACTACTGGGAAAGGCTTGTTACACTTCAGTATACACAATAGTACATGCTTTAACCTGTCAAATATGTATTGTCATAAACAAAGAAAAATGTATTTGATTTGCCATGGAACTGCTTGAAATCGAAGATATGGACAATGGTGCAGCACACAAATCAAATCAGCATCACATCTTAAACTGAGGTATGTTTATGATCAGTCTGAAACTCGAATCGATAGGCTGAATATACACAATGAAACACAGGTTTTAGTGAGATTCTCAGATTCACACAGGAAAGTTGCTTGGAACTTTAACTGAAAAAAATCATGTTATTATTTAGACTCCTTTGTAGTGGAGCATATGTATAATGTGAGAAGTAGATATAGGATAAACATATAGCTAGGAGTATAAGGATTTTCTGCACTTGTCAGAGTAAATATATTTGAATAGTTCTACTTCTAACTCAGCTAACCAATCAACATCATATATTTATTAGAACTGTCATAAACTCTGAAGGTATATCCTGTAGTACTAAATTTTTTTTGCCTTTAGGAATTTAGTCTGCTGCTGTGAAGTTCAAAGCAATTTTGTTCATTCTCCGACTCCTGCATTCTTTTCAATTGTCGTGCAAAAAAAAGGGGATTTGAAAATAAAGCTTCCATGGAATGCAGAAACAGAGCATGTGGTTGGATCAACAATAGAACAACCTACGGTATATGCTTCATTTTGTTTGGATTCAGAAAATCTGTATGCTGTCTGTAATTCAGAAATTGATTGCTTCATTCACTCATGCGCTACTGCTATTTCATATACAGGGGATCAGGGAGGAGAGCAGCAGCCTGCTGCTTCTTGGTTACTGCTCCCTCTGTTGATCAGGGAGTACTACACATCTATACAGAGAACACAAAGAACAGAAGGCTGATGCAGTGATGCTTCCTGCTTTCAAGGGGATACATACCTCTGTTGTGGCAGCAGCCCTCTGTTTCTGCTGCCCGTTGCCGCTGCTGCCTCCCGCTTCTGCCCTCTGCTGCTGCTGCCCGCTGCCTCTGCTTGCCACCGCTGCTGCTGCTTGTCATTGCTCCTTGCCGCGAGCTCGACGGCGTCCATGTAGGAGCTCCCCTGCCCGCGCGTCGTCTCCGACCCGCGTGCCTCCTCCTCGTCCCTGCGCAGCAACAACAGCTCCTCCAAGCCGCCCTGCCTCTCTTCCTTCTCCCTTTCTCCTTCCTCCCCTGGCTCTTCTTCTTGTCTCTCTCTCACACCAACTCACTCTTTCTCTGTTACCTACAGGAGGCCGACGCCGAACTGCAAGCAGCCGCCGCCTGGAGGTTCTCCGCCGCCGGAGCCCTCCTCCTCCTCGCCCACGTCACCGGCGTCCATCCTCGTCGGATCCGGTTCCGCCGGGACTCCCTGCGCCTCCGCCGCCTCGCCAAGTCCGTCTGCTGAAGCCGCCTCTGTCCACTGCCTGCTCGATCCCCTGCCTCGACCACATCTGTGCGCTTGCGCAAGGGCTGCAACGCCCAGCAGCGCTTCGCGGCGTCCATGTGCAGGGGAAAGCAGAGGTCGGCGCCGGCGAGCAGGCAGTGGAGCGCGTCGACGGAGCCATGGTGGAGGTCATGGCGCCGAGCTGCTCCACCCACCTTGCGCCGACGAGCACGGGGGAGCTCAGGTTCTTGGGAATGGAGACGCACCTACAGGGGGCTGGCGATGTCGGAGGCGGAGGAGAGGGCCGGGCACCTTCCGCGCCGCCGAGCTCATCGACGAGAGCAGCCTCCCCCCTTCCACCTTTTCTGCCGCTGGATAAGATGAACAAAGGAGCGCGGGTGAAATTGTTACAAAATGCAGGGATTAATTTGCAAAAACGAATCGTTTTGCTAGATCCACTTACATATGGACTGCGGGTTCTATTATCTAAAATCATAGGGACGTTTTTGAAAAACTGTCACGACGACGGACGACCAGAAGCGATCGCTGCTTTATTAGTAGGTAAAGAGGTAAAGATAAAGATTTGGATTTGGATGTCTGCATTGAAATCTTGGTCCGAGAGGTTCTCCCACGGTTATTCCTATTTGGTCTGCACGCGCTGATTTCTACTGTTTTTAGAGCACATCCAACAGCCGTCCAACACGCGGCGCGCTAAAAATGCATTTGCAGCGTGCCGATCGTCTGTTTTGGCGCGGCGGGGAGCGCTGGCTCCAGCGGACGCTATGAACTTTAGCACGCGCGTAGCTTCAGCAGGTGCGTTAAAATGCAGCGCGCGCGCTCTCGCACAAACACTCTGGACTATGATGCATATGCATAGATAGATAGACAGATAGATAGATAGATAGATAAAAACGA